TCCTGTATGTACTCTCATCTCCTTCCCCGAGCGAACCACCAATGATCTTTCCACCTTTCCCCCCCGCCTACTGTCGTGAGGAGACCCGATTGGAGTCCCCACCGGCGCCTGACATCAATCAGGTTCTCCAACCACAGACATTTACCATTGACCCCTTTCTGTGCTCTACAGTTCTGCCTCATCCTCCCTCTACTTCGCAAGCCCCTCCTTTTCCGTCAGTCCTTCGTACGCCAGCTGTCAGTCTCGGAAGGAGCCAGTCACATGGTGGTCATACTAACCTTCCTCGCCCTAACACTCTCCCCCATCCTCCAGCCCCCATTGCAGGTCGTTCCTCGACCCGGGAACAACTGGCAGCCCCCACCGAAAGTTCATCTGGTTTTTCCGCCTTTCGTTCCGCTTGGCCCTTCCAGCGCCAGTCTAATTCCCTGTCGCCAGCGGTGACGCTAGTCGGAGACCGCATCCTCCAACCTGTGCTTGTGATAGAGGACCAACTGTCCAACAACGACCGTCCACCTCCTCACTACGCCAGTAGTGAACGACTGCAAACAATATATCCACCCTGTCCATTCCAGATGACTGGCGGAAGATAATTTTTCAGGCAGTTAGGCTACGGTCTATGCCTTTGAGCTCTACTGTGCTGGGTAAGTTTCCATTTTTATTTTTAAGGCACTGCCGACATTTTTTTCTGGTCAAATTCTGCTCGTGTATATTGCTCTTACACTTTGTTGAAGTAGGCAAATACGTCTTCGTAGGTACAAACGTACCGCCAAATTTATTTTCTCCTGAACTAAGCAAGGATATGTTAGACTGTCTGTATGCCCTCCCACCAGAGCCATCAATGTAGGAGGCGGAGGTTAGTCAAACGGACCTTGTCTAACCCCATACTGTCGGTAATCTACGTAGGTTTTTCGTGGTACGACTGACTTGTATGGCCGCCTAAATAGAACACGGGAATAGGAACGCCCGCCCACTTAAATGTGTGACCTTTCGACAAATTTCAGGAAGGGTAAATAGTCACCTGTCTTAACCCTGACATCAAACTAAACTGTAACCCTAATCTTAACCCTAGCCCTCCCATGAACCTAAACTCTACAGTTAGCACGTACCCAAACCTTAAACCTTAACAGAATCCTGATCCAATCTCAAAATCCGACCTTAAACCCAACCTTAATCCTAAACCGAATTTCCCTGGAATTCGACGCAGATTCACGTGTATTATGGATGCTTCCTATTCCCTTGTTCTGTTTAGGGGGCCATATAAGTGATCTGTTTTCGTCTTATCATCTTATCATCTCGTCTTATCATCTACGGCATAAACAATATGCGTATTGGTTTAAAACTGTCACTCGTTACCAAATTCAAGCTTTACTCGACATTTGAGTGCGGCGTCAGGTAGGGCGGAGTAATTAATCGGCAAAGATGACTTATATAGCCTCGTAAACAGGACATGAGAAAATGAGCCGTTCACAATAGAGCTGCTGAACTCCAGGAGTAATAGGGTTAGGTTTGTGGTTAGCGTTAGGGTAGTTTACAGTTGCATTTAGGTTTAAGGTTAGGGTTATTGTTACGTTAAATTTTAGATTAGGGCTAAAGTTTATGTTTATATTTGAGTCAGTGTCAGGATTAGTACACGGAAATGTTGTCCTTCTCGTCATTTTTGCGCAGGAACACCTTTACTACTTGAGCTGGGCGTTCCTATTCCTGTGCTGTCCTGTTTAGGAGACCATGTAAGTAATCCCTGCCGGTTAATCTAGGCACTGAAGAGGTATGTTTTGCCTAGAGCTGGTTCGTGTAAATAAACTATGCCGGGCTTGATCTGTTTCCACCCTGTCCCTCCTCCCCCCACGCCCCTTATGGGCGTCCGCATCGCAAGTTTAAAATGCTCCCGCCGTTGGGTAAACTTACGCACACCCCGCCCTTCGCTGTGGTTACCACCT